GTGCTGGGGGATTGAACCGCGGTCCCTGTGCTTTGCTTAGCTTAGCTTGTTCTAAGTAGGTGCTTTAGACCACTGAGCCATCTCACCAGCCCCTAGCCCGTTCTTCTTGGTAGTATCATTCCTCCAACTTGCTCTCACTGTCACCCAATCTGCCATATGTATCAGTAGAACATACCCCAGACATACCACAAACCTGGATTTAAAGGCAGGCCATACCTACAGTACTGTAGAAAGGCAGCTTTCAGCAGCTTTGTTTTATCTTCCTGTGCTATGGTTTCATTCCTTGTGGTCTCAAACACCATACTCTGCAAAGAAACAGGCTATGGTTACAGGTGAAAGAATCAGAACATTCCTAATTGCTCAAGAATGAACTGTACCCATCCTACAACAGGACAATAACACTTAAATCATCAAACAAATTTAATCATATGTTCAGGCATTTATCAAACTTGACAAAGAGAACTCAACAATGAAGCACAGCCCCAAAAAGTAGATAACTCAAGGATTCTGTCATGAATAAGGCTGGGCATGGTAACACAGGCCTGTAATTCCAGCTACTCAGGAAACCAGAACAAGAGGTTCACAAGTTCAAGGCCACCCTGCACAACTTAATGAGGCCTTTTCTCAAAAAAACCCAAAACAAACAAACAAACAAAAACAACCAGTTGGAGGCTCAGGGTTTAATCCCAGTTCTATCAAAAAAAGGAGATTTCATCATTACCAACAAAATCTTTCTTAATACTATTACCACGATTAAGCAAGGATTCAGAAAAATGGAACATTGTAAAAATAGCTTCAGAACACACAGCAGTACTACAATGTAACATGATTACAAAACAAAGTTTAAAGCTCTTATTTTCTGTAGAAACTATATCAAGTCACTTTAGTTTGAATAACCACAATAGATTATTTAAAATGGAATATTCCCCAAACATTATTTTTAACCTTAGTAAAAGACATTTAAAAAACAAAAAGCCAGGTATAGAGGTGCATAGCTATAATCCCAGTACTGTGGGAGGTTGAGGCAGGAAGATCACAAGTTTAAGCCCAGCCTGAGCAACTGAGCAAGACCCTGTATCATAAGAGGACTGGGGATGTAGCTCAATGCAAAGGCTCTAGGTTCACTTCTCAGTAGCAGAAAAAAGAAGGGGGGAGGTCGTCCTATGGATAATTAGGCTTGTAGGGGTTGAGGACAGTGCAGAAGAAAGGCTTCAGGATCACAGTTTTGCAGACACCACTCCCCGAGATCCAATCACAAGAAGAACCACACTTTGAAGTGTCTTTTAGAGCTGCTGCAGGATGCCGAAGGACCAACTCAGACACTTGAGAAAAATGAGCCAAATAGAAAACAATGCCATTCAACCATGATGTGGGAAATGGAATCAGTACATCACAAGGTTCAGCAAAACAAAAGCAACATTCACATTATCGTAATAATGAAAAGCATTTACATTGGTAAAGCAAAGACACAGGAGTATAAATTACCCGAAGCCTTCATTTTCCAACTCAGAAGACAGACACAGGCAAATATTGCTTAAAATGCAGAGGAAAATAACAGAAGGAATAACTAAGAGACTTAAAAGCAGCAGCTCTGGGAAAGAAGACCAAGGAATGAAGGAGATAAAAGGATGAATGTTTTCTCATGGGCGCAGTGGCACATGTACGTAATCCTAGCACTCTGGGAGGCTGAAGCAGGAGGATCACAAGTTGAAGCTTGGTCTGGGCAACGTCTTAAGATTCTGTCTCAGATAAAAAAAAAAAAAAAAAAAAAAAAACAGCTTGGAACATAGCTCAGTCCAAAGACCCTAGGTTTAATCCCTAGTACTACCAAAAAAAAAAAAAAAAAAAAGGTTTTCATCTTAAATCTTTGAAAACTGGCTTATGTGAAACATTTGTACAAAATACCCTTATAAAAACAAAAGTTAAACCATCTTAAGGAACCACCGACCTCATTGCCTGGTCCAGTGACTGAAGAGGCCAAGGACTCCTCCATGTCTTCTGCTAAGAGGGATACACTTTCCCTCGACGTGATGGACACCAGGCCACTGTTTCTAGAGAAGAGGATGGGAACACTGCCACAGGAGCCAGCACCTAAAATGCCATCTCCTAAAAAGAAAATAAATCCATCATTCTGAAATCTGCCATCCTGAAGAGAAAAGTCACAGTCATGTACTTTTTCCTTTACAATATAACTCCTACCTGAACTCAGCTTTGAAGTGACAGAATCAAATCAAGCACAGGCTGCTGTATGAAGCAGCATACTCATTCTAGTCCTTCTACTTTTTAAGGAAGGACTAGAAACTGTCCTCATAAGATGGCAGGCAGTACAGTGAACCCCCAGAGAAAATATTCATCCTGTCTAACTGAAAACAGCAGCTCTTGCAAGCCTGCAGTGCTCTCTGGCCTAACTGATTGTGTCTACTGAATCAGCCCGGAGTGAGGTGCCCAAGCTCACTGAGCACCTCAGGAATGCTACCGCTGTCCTCTAGGCTCTGGCCGGGCACAAGCAATGCCAGATCCACCCTGCCGCCTTCCTTGCTGCGCAGTATCTCAGATGGGAGTCCTGATTAGAATGTCCTCCTGGCTCATCTGCTTCCCTCCCAACGTCAGCACCACCTGAGTCCAGCATTCTTCTTGCAGGGTCTAGATGAACTGGTTAACTAACCTGGATAAGCAATTAATTCTTTTAGTATCATTTCTTTCATTTCTGGTCTCCTCCCCAGAGGAATTGTTATTTTTGCCCATAAACGTAAATGTTTTGAGAATTCTACTACCATTTTGATTTAAAGGCTTCAGTATACCCAAGATGCTTGACCTAAAGCCACAGGTATAAAAAGAAAACTATCAAACCTTACCATGAGCTCCCTGATCCCACTTTCTAAAATGCTACTGAGCCAGGTGTGGTACATGCCTGCAAGCCCACACTCGGGAGGCCTAGGCAGGAGGAACATTTCCTTTTCAAGGTCAGCCAGTACTGTATAGCAAGATACTGTCTCAAAACAAAACAAAAAGCAAACAAACAAAAAATGCTACTGTACCTTGTGCACTGAAGACAATTTTCTCCTGAGGAAGAGAAAATTTCCCAGTTCCTGTGGAGCATACATAGACAGCACTTTCAGTGTACAGATAGGCAGTCTGGTTTGAAAAGTCAGGGACCATCAACCGACACATAATTAGGTCTTCAGACTGAAAGTTAAAATTAAAATTATATTTAGTAAGAATTGAAACAAAACTGCTTGTATGATTTTATATTTTATACAAACTATCCCATAAAAAGAATAAAATGTGGAGCTGGGGAGATGGCTCAGTGGAATAAGCACTTGCCTGGCAAGCGCAGGGGCCTGAGCTCAATCCCCAGTTCTGGCAAAAAAAAATAAAAATAAAAAAATTTTAAAAAAAAAGGATAAAATGTTAATTCACTGATTCTCATGAAAATCTAAACATTAGCCCTCGGCGGACTAAAGCTCCTGCTTAGGCAGACACAGGAACCCGGGTTCAATCCCCGGTGTGCCATGCCAGCTCCACCCCCAGGATGCACTGAGACAGTGATTGAGACCGCGTGGTGGCGCGCGGCTGTAATCCCAGCACTAGGAAGGCTGAGACAGCTGGATCACTGAGTCTAAGCTGTGCAGCAAGACCTTGTACCAAATAATGAAAAAGATTTAAAAAAAAAAGTCATAGGGCTGCATCGGGCTGTAGGAGAAGATGGCGGTCTCCACAGGAGTTAAAGTTCCTTGTAATTTTCGCTTGTTGGAAGAACTTGAAGAAGGACAAAAAGGAGTAGGCGATGGTACAGTTAGCTGGGGCCTTGAAGATGATGAAGACATGACACTTATGAGGTGGACAGGCATGATCATTGGGTCACCAAGGACAAATTATGAAAACAGAATATATAGCCTAAAAGTAGAATGTAGACCTAAATACCCAGAAGCTCCTCCATCAGTTAGATTTGTAACAAAAATTAATATGAATGGAATAAATAACTCCAGTGGAATGGTGGAGGCACACAGCATACCAGTGTTAACAAAATGGTAAAATTTGTATAGTATTAAAGTTGTACTTCAAGAGCTAAGACACCTAATGATGTCCAAAGAAAATATGAAGCTTCCACAACAACCAGAAGGACAAACATACAACAGTTAGTTTTAGTGGATCTCAAACTTGTCTTAAATCAACAACCTTCTACTCATATTAATGTCTTGATTAAATATCACAATGCAAAATACCCACACATTAAGTAAAAGAATTCCAGCTGATAAACATGACCTGGACATTTGTCAAAATATATTTAATAAATGTTCATCCATTATGTTTTCAGGTAACAGGAAAAATGCAGCACAATTGTTCTTTCTCTTGTTGAGGCACTGTCATTTAAAACGTGAACCTAGAGTACTCTACAAAGGTTCGGGTTTACAAGATGAAAGCACGGGAAGAACTGTCAGATGTCAGTGAAAACGGGTGTTTCTGAAAAGTAAAATCTCAAGAAGGAAAAACAAATGGCATGCTTATCCATTCACGTAGTGAAAGTTGCAGCTTGAAAATGTTCAGAGCAGCAGGTACAATGAATATTGTCACAAACTGTATTAATCTTTGAAGCAGTGTGGGTGCTGACTACTAGTAGCATCAAAAATATGTTCAAGATTGTTTTGATAGCTGTATTTATAATAAAAAAGTTGGGGGAGGGTGGATGAATTTCTGTCTAAAGCTGTTCCTGTGTGTTACATGTAACAGACGTGGTAAATATATGTTTAGAGTCTTTGTTAAATAAACCACACATTTAAGTTTAGGTGAAATCAACAAAAGGAAATAGGTGTATGGATATGTGATTTTGAGATTAGTCTTAAAATATAAATAAAATGTAGGATGTGTCCTCAGAGACTGTGCCATTTCTATTATATGGATGTAGATTATGTACAGTACCTTGTCAAGGAAGCAAAAACTGAAATTATTGATTGTACTTTTCTTTGATGCACCCCATTTATGATTTATTCATATTTTATAATACAGTACTTATGAACTGGAAGTTGCAGAGTATTAACAAATTATGTAATTTGTTTTTTTCAAGAATCCCCCAAAAAATTATACACATGCATGTGCACCACCCCCAAATACCCACAAACTTATTTCATATGTAAAATCAGAGGAAGAAATACAAATAAGGCAACAAACTTGATGACAACAGCATATAATATAGCATTGTTAATTTTCTATTGTTTTGAAATTCTGTACCATTTTTCTTGTTTTATGTTGCTTTTTGTTTTTGTTTTCTCTTTAAAACACAGATTAAAAACACAAACAAGACCTAATTAAATGATAAAATTAGCAAATGGTAAAAATGATAAACATGGGGCTGAGGCTATGGCTCAGGGTAGAGCTCTTATCCTGCATGCACAAGGCTCTGTGTTCAATTCTCAGCACCACAAAAAGAATAAATAAATACAAATTAGATTAAGTGAAACTCACATTTTCTTTGAAAATGTTTTCTTTATACCCCTCTGCATTTTCTGAAAAGTTTTTCCTACACTATTTTTTTATATATATAATCCGAACACTCAGTGAGGTTTATTTCCATTTGAAATAAAAGAACATAATTAAGATTTGCTTATGGAATTCAGTGAAATGAATCATATTAAGAATAAGGATTTAACAGAATTAAGACACCACATGTGGTTAACTGAAATGACTAACAGCTGCCAGAACTTTCCCTCATGTACGTGGCAGCTACGAGTGGTCCACACACTGACGAGCTAACATCGCTGATGCCTACATATAATCCTTCGGCCACACAGGGATTTCTCTCATATGTCAGGCTCAAACCTGAACCCTAGCTGCCACCCGAGGCCTGTTCCTTACTTTTACCCTCCAATTTTTCACAAAAATTTTCTGTATTCGTACTTAATATAGAAAAAACGACTCCCTCCAGAGTAACAGTAAAATAAAAAGACTGCTCTTTAGATCTAAGGCTGGGCAAGGGGAATGAATGAAAAAGCAAAAAAGAAAAAGCAAAGAGTACCAGGAAGCAAGCTACTTTAAAGCCTTTGTCCCGCAGATAAGAGCTCAAGGACATGCAATGGCTAGAAAAAACTGTGTGTGACCGGCACCTTGCAACTTAACTTACCTGAAAAGGTGGGTTATACTGAGTGACCTCCACAGTAACTGCATCTGACATCTGGCAGCCATTATCCTCTATGGTTATCAGAGAGTAATAGACGAGGCAAGGACTATCTGCTGGATGCCATGCTGCTGCCAAAATCAGGAGCCCATCACTGGTCAAGAAAAAAGAGAAGTCTAAGCCTTCTCTTCAGAGTACAGAGGCATTCTCTGGATGCCTTCATTACTCTCTCTGTAGCATAACCAACTGCTGCTGCTGTCCTGGGTGACACAGGAAAGAGGAGACCCAGGAAGGCATTCCTGAGTGTCTCTTCCCCATTCTCAAGGTCATCAAATCTAACAAGGTCCACAGTGGGTGACATCTGAGCAGCAGTCTGGCTCTTAAAAGTGTGATAAAGATAAATGAAGCCAGGCAAATCGCATCTAACCAAAATGCTTGCAGAAAAAAACGAAACCTTTTTTTTAATTTAAGATCTTTTTTGAGACAAGGTCTTACCATGCAGTTCAGGCTGGCCTTCAGCTTAATTTGTAGCTCAAGCTAGTCTCAAATTCTCAACAATCCTCCTACCTCAGCCTCCAGAGAGCTGGGATTATAAGCGTGTGTCACCACACTCTGATATTTTCCTTTTTAGTAGCTGTTGTGAGGTTTTCAGACTGTAGGAAGGAGCACACTAACAATCCCAACAAAAAGGCAGGCCACTGGCTTAACAGTATGAGAAAACTGGCACTAGTACAACAACCAGCAAGAATGTTCATCATTTCATCACAGATACTAACTTATTTTCTAAACTGAAATCTAGTCTCACCACTAAAGGACAAATTAACTGCTTACCAGTTCTGCTTCAAGTCCAAATACTGAATGTTGACCCCTTCTTTAATAACTTCATAGTTACTTTCAGATCCCTAAAAGGAAATATCAAATAAGAGAGCTCCTAAGCGTAAGAAGTCTTTCTTCCCACTTGTGTATCCCCAGCACTTGATGAAATAAACGCCACATCTATGGTGGCTCTAGGATGTCTGAAGGTGAAAAGTATACACTTCATAGAAAACTGTTAAGCAAGCAAATCAGTGAGCTTTGACATAGGTAGGACCCAACACCCTACTTCTGCTCTGTGATGGCTGTGCACTATGACTATCTCTTTAAATGCATTGAAATAAACAAGGAATAACCAAGAACATGAGTTGGAGATGAACGTCATTTGTCCTCACCCAAATAGCATCGGTGATATTTTCCTTCAGAACTCTGTGTAAATCCCAACTGTATGTTAGCTTTTCTGAGGAATCGTCCAACTCCCATTTATTAACATTTGAGCTCGTCAGGCTATAGACACTCAACCTTCTTCTGTCCCAGAGAACGCCTGCAAGCTGACAGAGAAAGGAATGCACAAAGTGTATCAGAGCACTATACCTTGGTCACTAAAGAAAGCAATGACAAAGAGGTCAGAAGAGGGACAAGCATTGCAGAGTTCAGCGTCTAAATCATAGGAGAGAAAGAGGAATATAATAATTTGTTTCTAGACATGGTTTTAGATCCAAAGAAAACTGAAAAAGCAGTCAAGAGAGCTACCTGAAATAAAGAAGAAACAGCCTAGTGACAACTGTGCTTCAGATGCAGACATCTGGGTACAAACCCCTCTCGCACTTTGCACCCATGGCAAGGCTGCTTGCGCAGTGGTAAACTGCAGAGAAATATCTGCTTCACAGCTGCCCCACAGCTACACAAGACAACTTAATTTCATTAAAAAATAAGCTTATAAAACAGGTATTTTATAAACTTACCATGAGATCACTACTAGGAGACAAAATTCCAAAAAGGGAAGAAACCCTGCGGCCAATTCCTGACAGCATCCCTTGCCCCTGTGGCAAGACATGCTGATGAATCTTTCCAGAGCTTTCAGGTATCAACCGAATTAGTTGACTTCCTGCAGAGGCCAAGATAAAACTCCCTCCCTGTGGACAAATACTGTGAGATTAGTTAAGTACCTAAGACAAAGAGAAGTAACGTGAAATGCTTTCATACAGAGAAAAACCATCCCTGCCTTAAATCTAAAGCAATAAAAAGGCACAACGTTATCTCATTACAATAGACCGGGCATGGTGGTTTATGTGAGTAATCCTAGTACTTGGAAGGCTGAGGGAGGAGGATCAATGTTGAGTTTGAGGCCAGCCTGGGCTACATAGTGAGTTCAAGACCAGCCTAAACTACATAATGAGCCTTTGTCTGAAAACAATAACAATAACAATAGTAATTTACAATCTGTTTAACTCGTCATTATTCTACACAGAAAAAATCTTGCAGCTGAAAATGTTAAATTTTTAAAATTCCGATTTCTTAAATTGAAGTTCACCGTATTACAGGCTCAACAAACCACGTATTTTATTTCTTCGGTAAATCTGAAGAATAGACACAAGCGTTCACTGTGCAGCATCTAAGTTTCTTAGCTACTCCCATAAAATGTTTCTAAAACTACTGAGCAGCACTTTCTACCACCTGGACATCCTGAAGCCCCATGCACAGGCCTCCCTTTGTCTAGCGGTAGTGGTCAACCCCTGCCATGGCATGCAGAGCCCTTCCTGTCAGCACACAAGCCAAGCTGCCCCAGCAGCCGAGCACCAAGGTTTAATTGTAGTGCTGGTACTCGCTTTATACCACTGGTATGGTCATTCAAATCACAGGCCCTTATATCATTTGCTTGCTTCCTCCTGGTCCTTTCAGTCTGTACAGCCATCTAGAACCCACATTTGTAGTCATTCAAACCTCACTTCCAACCCGAGTCAGCTTTTCCATATGCATGTGGGAATATCCACTACAAACCTCCACTGCTGTTAGGAATCTGCACATCTTGTCACCTCCCAGGTCCACAAATGTCTCTGTGTACGTGTCCTCCCCAGCTAGGCTTGGCCAGAAGCGGACAGACCCTTCTCTGGTGGCAACCATGACAGCAACAGCCTTAAAACAAAATCACAATAGTCAGTAAGCAACAAAAGACGACCTCAACCGTGAGTGTCTCTGACAGACAAAATGAGAAACAGAATTCTTTAAAACTGTATTTTTTAAATTATCAAATATGCATAGTTGTACATGCCTATAATGCCAGCACTCAAAAGACTGAGGCAGAAGCATCACTAAATTTGAGGCTAGCCTGGACTACATAGCAATATCGTGTCTTAAAAAACCCAAAATAATAATAATAATAATAATAATAATAATAAAAGCAGTGGAACTCCTGCTTCCTTTGTTGTACAGTTCTATGCATTCTGACGCATGTACCACATCATCTCCAGAACTTCCCAGCAATTATATCCCTTGACAGTCGCAGACCTTTCTCCATCCTAACTGGCAACCACTGTTTCTGCCTGGGCAGTACTGTCTCTTTGAGAACATCAAACAATGAAGCCACAGAAAATTTAAGCATTGCTACTGTCCTTGAACTTGACTTTCTGTCTCTGCGATCCTGACATCAGCTGTTTGTTGCTGACATCTGCTATAAAACAGTGGTCTTCACTCTTCTGCCACTAGGGACTAGTTTTTCATGGACAATTTTTTCAGGGACTGGGGGAATACAGTCTCATGACTGAATTTTCATAAAGAAGGAGCACATGAGCTCGACCGATAGCATGCACAGGTCACAGTAAGGTGTAAGCTCTGAAGAGAAGCTAACACTGCTGGTGATCTGACAGAAGATGACGTTCAGGGAGTGACAAAGACCTGGGAGCTGGCTGTAAATACAGGTACCACTCCACTGCCACTGCACTGCCTGCAGATCATCTCCTGCTGTGTGGCCTGGCTGGTGTCTTGAAGCTTTTAATGTTGATCTTATGTTAACTTTAATATTAATTTTACCAATTTCTTTTACAGAACATGATTTGGTGATTTTTAAGAACTCTGCCTAACACCACATTCTAGTTTTTCTCATTTTCTTTAAAAACTTTTATAATTTTACATTTAAATGAATGATTCATTCTGAGTTAGTCTTTGCACTAGGTATGAAGTTTAGAGGGGTATTCAATTCTTTTTTTAAAATTATAGATGACCAATTGTTCTAACACTATTTACTGAAAAGACCATCCTTTCTCCCCTAGAGTGCTTCTGCACCTGCTGAAGACCACTCTGGTCAGCATCTATGGGCCTATCACCAGACTCCCCTCTGTTCCACTTACCCATGTTTCCAACTCTTTGTCAATGCCACAGTCTTGATTTTGACTGCTTTAGTTATATCTCACGATTAGCTTGGATGTTTCCTTCAATTGTAGAGTATCTTTATTTTGAAAGTTTATTTCAATAAGCATTTAAATAACCTACCTGAACAGAATGTGCTTCGCCCGAGGCAGCAGAGTAAGAGACAGCTACCAGGTCAGCACTCCAGTGGAAGTCACTAGGTGGCAGCTGAAGTTCTTTACAAATAGACAGCTGCAGAGCAAACCCCAACAGAAAACCTTGTACATCAAATCCAATATTTTTGAATATGAATATGCATCCGACTTTTCCACTCCTTTCTCTGTATATTTTATATTCCAATTCATTTGCTGGAACTACAATTATACATATATTCTGTGCACAGCTCTTTGGTCATACTTTCAGTACTTTTACAACAAAGAATCTTAAGAGACAAATCAGGAAACTTAAGAATTAGTCTGGACTTCAAGTATACACTAGTTTGCTCTTCAAAGATAAAAAGTATACGGATTAAGAAGTATTTAGGGGCTGGGGAGATAGCTCAGTAGAATAAGCACTTGCCTGGCAAGCGCAAGGTCCTGAATTCAATCCCTGGTACCGCAAAAAAAAAAAAAGCATTTAGGCTTTCTACAGACTTTCTCCACTTGGTTTTGATGTGTTTGACATTTAAAATTAGCATGACCAAGAGTAATTACACTAACCTACCTCGAAAATACATCTTAAGACCTCAGCCAAGCAAGATTCCTCTGATGAACAACCAGGTCAGGATCCCGCCTATCTCTCAGGAGCTATTTCTATTTCCCATCCCTTTTCGCCAATGAATTTTCCTAATATTAAAATTTTTAAAAATTAAAAAATAAAAATCTTCTGCTAACCAGAGATGCTATAATTCCAGCACTCAGAAGGCTGAGACAGGAGAATTGCTGAGTTAGAGGTTAGCCTGGGCTATATAACGAGTTCAAGGACAGCCTAAACTGTACCATAAAACCCTGTCTAAAAAAAAAAAGAAAAGAAAAGCTCCCTCTGCTAAATCAGCATGTCCTCTGGGGCTTCTCTATCATCTACTGCTCTCGACCAAAAATGCACTATTTGGGCAGCAGCAGTACAAAGGCCAGCAGACATGAAGATTCTAGGTGCACAGGAGCTCCAAGTCCTCAGAGAACAAAGGCCCAGAATGAGAGGTGGCAGCCGCTACGTGTAGGGAAGAGATTGCTGAGCTAAGATGCCAGATACAAATGATAACCCATACCAGAGGCTCACAGCTAAAAGCCTGCCCAGCAACTGGCACCAGTTTTCTTGTTCTGTAAGCACCACTTACTCAATTCACCAAAACACAGTTCTACCTTCTTAGAAATAAGCACACTCTGTCAGCTTATGTGGATGGCATTACCTTAGACTTTATTAGGCAGATAGACTGGTACTATGGCCTATGAAAATTTCTGTCCCTAATTTTATTAAATATAAATAACATACATCTTGTTTAAACAATATTAAGGGCTGGAGAGATGGCTCAGTGGTCTAAAGCACCTACTTAGAACAAGCTTGGCAAGGCATCAGGGACCGCGGTTCAATCCCCCAGCACCACATGCCAGCCAGCCCTGCCCCCTGGTGGGCTGAGCTGGCCACACACACACACCACTCTCTCTCTCTCTCTCTTTCTCTCTCTCTCTCTCTCTCTTTCTCTCTCTCTCTAATAAATAAAAATTAGAATTAAAAAAAAAAAAAATAAAATAAACAATATTAAAAGGGCTTCGTATGCTGACTGTGCTTGTAAAAATACAGTGAATGTTCTTAAAGTCCACAGACTTTCTGCAAGGGTGGCAGGTACCAGTCTCACAAGGTGACATGATACTAAGGGTGAGGACTCTGTGCCCAAGGGAAGCAGCACAAGCTAGAAGGCAGAGTTCCGGGGAAAAATGAGGGCCAACGCCCATTTTCCAGAAAAAGGCTAAAACCACACAAAGACTGTACTGAATGAAAGGAGCCTGAGGAGAAATGCAGGCCCGTGTGGCCCTGTGCTGAGCCTCACTTTGCTCTGAGAACAATATCACCTTGAAGCTATGTTTACTTCACCGGCCTGCACTGGCTCTTTAGAGAGGAAATAAACTATAGACATGAACTTTTAAAAACTTGTGAAAAACCCCTGCACCAATAGTGTAGCTCACATTCTTTTAAGAGTTATTGGGGGATCATTCATCAGGGAAACCATGTCCTCGGTCATAAATAAACTTTAAGTTCAAAGAGAAAAAAAAAAAAAAAAAAAACCTTGTGAAAATAGTGAAACTTTTCCTGAAACATAAACGTGCATATCTGCTCAATTTTCACAAATTCCCAATGCCTGCAGAGATTCAGACCACTGTCCTCCACCAGTGCTAAGGCAGAGGAGAAGATGCAGGGTCAAGTGGTCCCTGAATCCTGTGGCTAAGGAAGCCCCTGAAGAGCACACCTTGGTGACAGGAGACATCGTGATCTTCCAAACAAGGAGCTTCTCCTTGCAGACCAGGCAAGCCCATCCGCCCTCATCGATATGCACAGACAGCTGGTCATCAACTAGGGCAGAAAAACAAGACACACAATCAACCTTAAGTTTTGAACATGAAAAACTATTAAATCTCCTTAAGCTGTGCTCACTTTGGCAGCACATACAATAAAACTGGAACAATACAGAGATCACACGACCCCTGTGCAAGGGTCACACGCACATTTGTGAAGCATCCCATATTTTTAAATATGTAAGGTCTTACTTACCTACATGAATTTGATTACAGAAACTAATATTCTCTAAAAAAAAAATCTCCACACGCCAAGATCCTCATTATTAGCACATGCTTCACCAACATAGGTAACAGAAACACACAAAAAATTAATTCACAATAAAAAATATTCCTAATGTTCCAGAACTACTAATAAGCAAAACAAGAGATCTATTGAATAGATCAAATAGATGATTTGATAATCATCTTTAGAAACATATCACAGAACTATATTTTGACCTAGGTTTGATACACCTTAAGTTCTGTTATAAAAATACCTTACTTTCTATAAGAATATTAAAGTATTATATTCTATAAGAAACAGTTATGCCAGACATGGTAGTTCACAACTGTAATCCCTGCACTCTGGGAGGCTGAGACAAAAGGATCACAAGTTTAAGATAAGCCTGTACAGGGGCTGGAGAGATGGCTCAGTGGTCTAAAGCACCTACTTAGAACAAGCTTAGCAAAAGCATCAGGGACCACGGTTCAATCCCCCAGCACCACATGCC